ATCCTGTCCCTTTGTTCCTCTAACCTTTCTTTTCTTTTTTCTTTTTGGGGTGGGGTGGGGAGAGTAAAGCTTGAACTCAGAGCCTGCCATTCTCACTCTACCCAGCTACATCTCCATTTCCAGCTCTACCCCACCTAATTATTTTGGGGATAAGAGTCTCAAAGATGATTCATCTGAACCAGGCCTCAGTGGTTCAGGCCTGTAATCCTAGCTACTCAGGAGGCTGGGATCTGAGGATCGAGGCTCAAATCCAACTGGGGCAGGAAAATGGTTCAAAGTCAGACTGGGCAGGAAAGTCCTCCTGCCCGTGAGACTCTTATCTCCAATAAACTACCAGAAAACCACAAGTGGTGCTGTGGCTCAAGTGGTAGAGCTCTTGCCTTGAGCTGAAGATTTGACAGACAACGCTCAGGCCCAGAGTTCAAGCCCCACAACTGACCAAAAAATAATAAATAAAGATGACTAATCTGCCCAGGCTGGCTTCAAACTGTGATCCTCAGATCTCAGCTTCTTGAGTATGATAAGACATGTGGCACCTGACATCTGGCTCTCAACCTTCCTTCCAATGGCTACTGCAGCTGAGTTATTCTTTTTGGTCGGTCATAGGGCTCGAACTCTGGGCCTGGGCGCTGTCCCTCAGCTCTTCAGCTCAAGGCTAGCACTCTACCACTTGAGCCACAGTGCCACTTCCGGCTTTTTCTGCTTATGTGGTGCTGAGGAATCGAACCCAGGGCCTCATGCATGCAAAGCAAGCACTCTACCACTGAGATACCTTCACAGCTCCTGAGTTATTCTTCATTACCTAAGCTAACCCTTAACCATTAACTGTTAATCATATTTATACAAATCATTATATTGAATGCTGGCAAAATGACTAGTCTAATTTTCTGATCAGAATTACAGATATAACTATGGAATATAAACAGTAAAACAAAGAAGGTATTAAATTTAAAACTGCTAACAACATTAAGATAGGAATCATTTTCATTTACATGATCAACAGAAAATGGGATGGAATTAGAAGTATGAAATTTGTGCTATGGCTTTTGGAGAAGAAAAGGGTAAAAAAAAATCCTATGGCACTTACTATAATTGGATTGAAACTTAGTTTATTGCTATTGGATTAATATCTTCACCTTCACTAGAAATGGATATTCCTAAATACTTAAAACACCAGTACAGTTTCCATGCTTTTTTGTCCTACGTTTTCTTAAACTTAGTAGATACAATTGTGCAACCAATTGTTAAGGACATTGTCTAAGAGTTTTATTATACCTAAGACATGATGAAAGGATACTCCCAACTTCTTTTCCTAACTTGGAAAACTTGAAGGCATACAGCACTGGTTAGCTGGATCATGTGCTAAAAACAATGACAGCTCTGTTTTGAATTTCAATGCTAGAAAGAAACCAGTGCCTGTTGTAACATGGGGAAAAAAGTCTATGTTGGTTTAGGTAGCTAGGAGAGTGAAACCAGTTTATAAAACACAAATTTCCTGGCAAGGTACATCACTTGTTCTGATACTGAGTTTTATGAAAAATTATTGTTACTCTGTCTCTTGATAGGCTACTTGGGCAGGGGATTACCTAATTTAGATTCTCTATGAAGCAAATGCCATGAAAAACTTTTGACTGTGGCACTCACAATGCAAAATTTCTAGGCTTTGAGACTGCCTGAAGATGATGACACTTCAATGATAAGCAAATATTGAGTCTTGAATTTTGTATCAGGATAAACACTGACTACATAAAATAAGGTGTGAAGTATCATCTTACTCTTTTTTCTACAAGAGTTTATTTAGGATTGGTATTATTTCTTTCTCCTATTATTTGATAGAAATCCCCACTAATGCTCTCTAGGGCTAGAGTTTTCTAGGTGAAAAAGCTTTAAATAATTAATTCAATTCTGTTAATGGATACAGGGATGCCAAAATGTTTGTCTTGAAACAATTTTCCTAACTTGTACTTTTCTTAGCAGTGAAACCATTTCACCTAAAGTTGCACAAACTTCCTTACATCTGGGTCCATGGCACACTGCTATAATCCTAGCTGCTCAGGAGGCTGAGATCTGATGATCATGGTTCAAAAGCCAGCCCAGGTTCAAAAGCCAGCCCAGGTTCAAAAGCCAGCCCAGGTTCAAAAGCCAGCCCAGGTTCAAAAGCCAGCCCAGGCGGCAAAGTCCACAAGACGCTTATCTTCAATTAATCACCAGAAAACTGGAAGTGGCCTGTGGTTCCAATGGTAGGGAGCCAGCCTTGAGGGAAAAGTTCGGGAAAGCACCCAGGCTCTGAGTTCAAGCCCAACAACAACAACAACAATAAAAAACCTTCCTTATAATCCATTTAAATATCTTTAGAATCCATATTCCCTTTGTTGTATGTCTGTGAGCCAGTACTGGAACTTTAACTCAGGATCTGGGTGCTGTCCCTTAGCTTTTTCATTCAAGACTAGCCCTCTACTACTTGTGCCATGGGACTACTTCTGCCTTTTGGCTGGTTAACTAGCGACAAGTATTAAGGATTTCTCTGCCTGAGACATCTTCAAATAAGTATCTGCAACTCTCAGCCTCCTGAGTATCTAGAATTACACGTATGAGCCACTGGTACCAGCTTAGAAACACAGCTTAAATTATTTTGGGGGCTTACAAACATATATTTTTATCAGGTGTATTACAAAGTGGGAAAAGGAACATAAATTGTCCTAATAGTTTTCTTATCTATGAAGCACGACAGGGTTGTTCTGGGAATTAAATAAGTTTATTTATTTAAAAGCACAACTTCACATATTCATCTATAACAATGAGCTCACATAAATCTAGTCATTATTACCAAATATACATGTAGTTGGATATTCTTAAGAAGAATAAAACAGCTATAGTTGAAATAGTTTAAACATTTTAGAAAAAGAGATGCAGTAAAATGTGCCGGGTAATGGATTTGCAAATGGAGGTGTACATAGCTTAAGTAGCAGAATACCACACTCCAGCAAAAAAGCCTGTGAACAGCTTAAGACCCTGAGTTCAAGCCCCAGGATAAGCACACACACCAAAAATGACAATAGACTATCACTTTTACTTTAAGAAAAGTTAAAAACTATCTCATCTATAATCTGCTTCCCAAGAGAAAATAAGAACAATAACAATACTGGTCAACAGTTTAAGAAGCAAGTTCATTCCATTTTCTAAAGTTAGTCAAATCTAACACAAGGCATGCTATAATGAGACCAAGACACAGAGACTCAATGCTGAACTGCAGAGATGACTGATGTCTGCTAGATATTGCAGCAGTCTACAAGTATGTGAGACACCCAGCCATCCAGATTTTTCCTTCCCTTCTAGTGAGCTTCTCAACAAACTACAGTTCATTTTACAAAACTATGGAAATGACATCCAGAAAGTCTTAGCTATATCATTTTAATCCAGATTCCAAGTTTATGACAAAACTGGATGCCAACTAGCTCTTTTTCAAAAGTATTAACAAAGGCAAGTATGTCAATCATATGTCTGAGCTATTCTCTAGCCTGTTTTATTAATAAAGGAGGAAAAGACACAAAGGCGTACTTTATCTTTTCATACCTTTTCAACTACTACTCATCTCTGCCTCCAACCATAAAGCTCTTATTACAGAAATGGCTAATTTTCTCAAATACACGCTTTCAATCCATTATGCTAAACACACTGTCTATTGTCCTTTCTTTTGGATGCTACAGATTAAACCTAGGGCTTCATACCTGAGCTATATCCCAGCCCCAAAGAAAGTTTCACTGTCCCCAGTTCAGATATACTACTGTTTAAAAAAAAAAAAAAGGTAGAAATACGTCAGTACTGGTTAAACCTAGTAACAAAAGAAGCCCAATATAGAACTGAACTCTAATAATTTGCCTTAGAAAAAAATTAAAATACACTATTTTAAAACATAAAATAAAAACTAAATGTCATGAATCTTAAAGCTCTCCTCACACACTGGCCTTGAGCTCATAATTCTCTTACCACAGCCTCCCCAAGTACTCGAATTATAGGTGGATAAGGTTTTTTTCCCAAAGAAATGTTTCCAAAACTTCTGGTTAAAATATGGGACTACACAGTACCCAGAAAAGTGGAAAATGGGAGTATCCTAACCTATTAAGTATAACAGATTACTTTCTAAACCATTCCACTCTGTCTACTCAGAAACATCATTTTAGACATCCTTAATATCAGATACTGGGGCTGTTCTTCAACTACAAGCTTGTTAGAAAGAACCAGGTATGTATGTCTACATGCCTCTCTCTCTCTTTCTAAATTTTGTAGAACCAGGGACTAAACTTGGTACCTCATGATTCTAGGAAAGCCTTTTACCACTTAAAGCCATACCCTTAACCCAAGATGCTTTAGAAATGAAGACGTATACTACATACATGAAAATTTCATAATGAAACTTACTATTTTTCACAATTCAGATATGCTAATAAAAACAAATTCAAATATCATATTACTAACAAATTCAAATAACACATAAAGGTATACATAAAATGGAAAATAAAATTACACTCATTTTTTCCAAAGTTTCTTTTGGATCCTTTTATCAACATTTTTAATATTTATATAGCAATGTGCACACCTTTATATTATCATAGCACAGTTTTCTATTTAAAAAATTATATACATTGTGCTAATCCTTTTCTCATTTAATACAAAATCTTGGGCTGGGAAGGTGGCTCAGTGGTAGAGCGCTTGCCTTGCATGCATGAGGGCCTGGGCTCGATTCCTCAGCACCACATAAGCAAAAAAGAAAAAAACAAACAAACAAACAAACAAAACGGAAGTGGCGCTGTGGCTCAAGTGGTAGAGTGCTAGCCTTGAGCTGAAGAGCTTAGGGACAGCATCCAGGCCCAGAGTTCAGGCCCCAGGAGTGGACCAAAAAAAAGATACAAAATTTTGAAATTGTTTCTATTTCAACACAGCACCCCACCAAAGCAAATTCCACCCCGCCCCCCCAAAAAAGTACAGGAAAATAAAAGTACCTTAATCTGCTGCCTTCGTAGCATGGCAAGTTCTCTCATGTCTCGAAACGGCTGAAGTAAATACTGATAGAGTTCAGTTGTGGCTTCTGCAAGGCTGCTATAGGCTTCATCTTCCATCTGGTACAAGTCTAAAAGCTCCACCATGCTCTCTATATTTTTGTGCTTGTCCAGTAGCTGTGAACAAGACAAAAACCATACATGAACTGATTTGCTTAACTAAAACTGTTGCACAACAACAGATAGGGAGTTTGAAAAAAAATACAATAAATGGTAAATAAATGAGCACAGAAGCTGGGCACTGTTGGCCTGTAATCCTAGCTACTCAGGAGACTAAGAGCTGAGGATCATGGTTCAAAAGCCAGCCCGGGAAGGAAAGTCCATGAGACTCTTATCTCAAGTGAACCACCAGAAAACCAGAAGTGGCGTAATGGCTCAAGTGGTAGAGTTCTAGCCTTGAGCTGAAGATCTCAGGGACAGTGTTTAGACCCAGAGTTCAAGCCTCATGACTGACAAACATATAAATAAATAAGCACAGGGACCATTTTTCTTTTATAAAATGAGTGTTTTAAGCAAAAATAGTGTAATATATGGTTTATAATACATGTGACTTTTTTTTTTTGTCAGTCATGGGGCTTGCTGGGCGCTGTCCCTGAGATCTTCAGCTCAAGGCTAGAGCTCTACACTTGAACCACAGCACCACTTCTGGTTTTCTGAGTGGTTTATTGGAGATAAGAGTGGCATGGCCTTTCCTGCCTGGGCTGGCTTTGAACAGTGATCCTCAAATCTCAGCCTCCTGAGTAGCTAGGATTATAGGTGTGAGCCACCAGTGCCCAGCTTATATGTGACTTTTATATATTACCAATAACATAAAAAACAGGAGTGAACATGAATCTATAAGGACACACACTAGAAGTGGTACCATATTAAGCAAAATATAAGCAAAAGGAGAATGTCGATAAATTCAATAAACTAAAGTTCAAATAACTTTAAATGAGGCTACCTAAAAGGCATATAGAAGGATAAGTTCAGTTAGTTCAGGTAAATAAAAGTTAACAAGAGCCTACCTCAAAAACAAAATAAAAGGGATAGTAATATGCTTGCCCAACAAGCTAGGGACCTTGGATTCAAACCCCAGTAGGAGGGGGATGAGGATGAGGAATAAAGACAAAACACAGCAATAGGAAACAAGTTAGTCCTAAATACAGTTTTTAAAGAATGCCATTAAATACAATGATAGTAAATGCAAACTGATTAAACAATCTAAAGGCATAGAGTATGTCAGAATACATAAGAAGTACAAGAAGTGGTGAGACATGAACAAAACTCTGGAGGTAGAAGAAGGGGCAGGATTCAAGGCCAGTGTGGGCTATACAGATTCTGTCTCAAAAAGTAGGATAAGCCAGGCACCAGTGGCTCAAGCCTATAATCCTAGCTATTCAGGAGGCTGAGATCTGAGGACAGTAGTACATAGCTAGCTTGGGCACAGACTATCTCCAATTAACCACTCAAGAACTGGAAGTGGCACTGTGGCTTAAAGTGGTTGAGAGCCAGCCTTGCCCAAAAAAGTTCAGGGACATTGCCCAGAATCTGAGTTCAAGCCCTAACCGATAGGAAGCCTAGATCTGAGGAACTCAGTTCCAAGCCAGCTGAGACAGAAAAGTCCATGAGACTCTTAGCTCCAAGTAACCACCAGAAAGTTGGAAGTGGAGCTGTTGATCAAATCATTCAGCAAAAGCTCAGGGACAGTACTCAGGCCCTGAGTTCAACCATCAAGACTGGTCCCCCCCCCCAAAAAAAATAGAGACAAAGATGAACATTTCACTTATACGTATTTTATTAGTCAAGTAGAGGTATAAATGTAGTTTTGTTTTGTAAGTCGAGGTGACACTGTGTAAACAAGGCTGACCTTAAATTCAGATTCCTCTTGGCTTCAGTCTCCTGAGGGCAGCAGGGGTTTATGGGCATGTACCACCACATCATACACACATACCTGTTATATAACTTGGAAATGTTTTATATTTCGGCTTACACATCAAAAGGAAAATTATTCCCAACGACACATGTAACTTTTTCATGAGATGAGGTAAGAGAAGCCTGAAAACAATATATCTTCTCTTTCTCCCTTCTTCACCAACACCCATTATTCAGAAGTAGCTAGGTCGGTGGCACTGGTTAAGTCTGTGTTCCTCTAGCCCACCTCACAACTGTCTCACATGGAGTTAACACCAAAGTTTCTGACCAGTTCCCAGCCAGGAACCTCTCTCTTCCACACAACAGCCCTTTCTGTACAGGAACCTCTCTCTTCTACACAACAGCCCTTTCTGTAGAGGCCTGCGTTCTCTTGCATAGAGCCTGGCTAGGCTTCCATTCACTACTCCCCCAGTATACTTGTTACTAAATAGAAGATTTTGAAAAATATTATTGTTTTAGCTGAAAGTCCCAAAGTAGAGACCCTGAGCTAGGTCAAGTTTCAGGGATTCTCTAGGCATTTCCCTCTTGTATTGCTTCATTCACAGCAGGACCAAGTGGGATGAAGTGTTTTCACCATGAAACCTCCAGCTGTCAGCCTGTGACCAGAAGTGATAAGATAGGAAGAGTAGTGGAGGGGAAGATGTTTCAAGTGGCAACACAAGAAGTCAACAGCCTCAGGGTTCTGAGCACTCTAGAAGCCAGATCTCCTCAGAGGCTATTTTTGTCTGCCCTAAAGTCTAGGTGGACTACAAAGCTCCTGGAAGCAAGCCTCCCCACTTCCCTTCAAGGAAATAGTCAGAAATAAGATGAAAGAAGCGAGCTCTTTTCCAAGAGCAATACAGGGAGAAAGTCCAGGACCACTGTCCTCAACTTCAGACACATCAGAAATATTTCATAATTTCCATGTTGTCATCTAGAAATAAGATTCTTGATAAAAAAAACTACCTACATATATAATTTTAATTTATAAAAATCCCTCCATAGGTTTCCAAAACACCTCCCCAATGATATGACTCCACTGAGAATGATTATTGCAAGACAAACCCAGGAAATTATCAGCATGAAGGTTTACATGCCTTAACTCTATGAACAAAATTCATAAACTGATACACACCACCAGCAAGAATTAGGAACATGTTCCTAAAGCTTCAAAACCGCCTTCCCCCAGGAAACAATAAAACTGACAGACTCAATCAGGGTTTTGCTATATCATCTTAAGGGGCTAAGAATGTGCCTACCTAGAGAAGGTGTAATTGTAACACAATCAATCAATGGTAATAGTAAGGCCAATGAAAAATAACTATGATGAAAATCAGTTTGCCAAAGATCAATTCACCAGAAGTCAAGTGACCAGTTCCAAAAGTCAAAAGTGCCCAAAATTACACAGATTAATTTACCCTAAACTGCCAAAACTGGTACTGTAAGCCATGTCTAAAAGGATTTGCCACTGAAATTAATCTATAAACCAGTTTGCTACACTTGTTTTCCTGACTGGCCACATCTTTGTGTATGAGAACTAAGTACTAATGTCAAAGATTTTACGAAGTTTCTCTCTGCTAAATACTAATCATGGTTTTATGAGTAAACTCAAAAAGTTTGTCATGCTTCAAAAAGTGACTAAATCAGGGCTGGGAAGGTGGCTCAGTGGTAGAGCGCTTGCCTTGCATGCTTGAGGCCCTGGGTTCAATTCCTCAGCACCACATAAACAAAAAGAAAAAAGCTGGAAGTGGCGCTGTGGCTCAAGTGGTAGAGCGCTAGCCTTGAGCTGAAGAGCTGAGGGACAGCGCCCAGGCCCAGCGTTCAGACCCCACGACCGGACCCAAAAAAAAAAAAAAAAGTGACTAAATCAGGTTGAAATCATCTAGTTTAAGCTACGTGTGAAAAGTATTAGGAAAGTAGTAGTGCTAACTGCTGTAGAAACAACAAGCTCTAATCACAGAGACCATTTCTCAGATCCCAAAATCAATTCACATAAGGGCAATAACTTCCACCATAACTTACCACCTCAAGGCTGCTACATTCAGCGTATCAGAAACCAAACAAAAACAGGTAGATGGGACAAGAAAACTAAAATAAGAATGTGATATTAATAAATACCCCTTTACCGTTTTAGAAGCCATTATTCTCTCCTCTAAGAAAAAAAATACACTGAAGCTAGAAGCTCATGCTTGTAATCCTAGCTACTCAGGAGGTTTATATCTGAAGGATCATGATTCAAGGTCAGCAACTGAGAGACTCCATCTCTAAAATAATTAGCAAAAAAGTAGTCTGAGTATAGCTAAAGTATTAAGAGCACCAGCCCTATGAGCAGCAAGCAAGCCAAGGGGTCACAAGACTGAGTTCAAACCCCAGTACTACCAAAGAACGAAAAAGAAAGGAAGAGGTACATTCACAGAAGACTTTTCTTGTATTCTACTGAAAATGGGTTTTAAGACAAGCATTTTCTACCAAGTTTCCAGCACAGAAAAACTGTAAAAGACAAAAAGGGGAAGGGGGTGGACAACAGTGGCTCACACCTGTAATTCTAGCTACTCAGGAGACTGAGATCTGGGGATTGTGGTTTGGAGCCAGCCTAGGCAGGAAAGTCATGACTATTATCTCCAATAAACTACTCAGAAAATGCCAGAAGTGGCACTGTGGCTCAAGTGGTAGAGTTCAACCCAAGATCAGCAAAAAAAAAAAAAAAAGGAGCAACATCTTTCTCCCATACGTCGTCATTCACCAGTGAGCTATTTACAGGGATCAAATGCCACAACTCGAAAGAAATTCCCTCTCACTAGGCTTCGAGTTCTTTTAGAAACACTAACGTAGGTATAATTTAGATGTTATTTTTTGCCCAAACAAAGTATCAAGTTACTATACATGAATTAATCACAGTAAGTTCTATCCAAATACATGAAGTCAGAAAATTAGCTGTATTGAAATCCTAAAATATTTATTGTATATTACTTTCCACATCTTTTATCCTCAAATACAGTAGTACTTTACAAAGCTATTATGCAGCCCCTAAACTCAATACTCTTGCAAAGAAGCCTAAGGCATCTCATCTAACACTGCTAATTTATTTATTTGTCTTTGCTATTAAGTTACCTGTTTTTCCAACACTAGATTACTTTAGAAGCAATTATAACTCCAAATGACCAATCTTATTTGAATCTTAAAGTAACTAAAAATAATCTTAAAATTAATTGTAAAACTGCACT